ATAAACTAGTCCAAGTAGTGCAGTGCTCAATGGTGATGACTCAAAACCGACGCATGAATGCTTGGTTTTAGCAGAGTTCTGAGCAGTAACAAGGCCAATGACTCAACGATTAAGTACTGAGGATCTTAGTTCTCAGCTTACCTTATAAGTGCGGATTTAAAAAAGTAAGTACAACACACAGACACACAAACAGCATCTTGTATTTATACATTTTCTCATTTTACGTGGGTGAGAAGCATCCAAACGAAAAACCTATTCAGCTAGCACCTACTGTATCAATAACTGAACGCTAAACTGCTTATGAAAATTGCTCGCTTTTAGGCGGAAATGATGAAAATATCATAAGCAGGAAGTGAAGATATTATTATCATGAATAATATTCCTGGCACCATTGTCATTAAGAAAACATAGAGACCGAAAATGACGGAACTAGTCTTTCTAGCAATAAGTGTACTCTTCCATTTTGCTGTTTCATGACCTGCCTATTTCTCTGCTAAACTGCAGCAGCTGGTGCTGTCCGTTTCATCTAAATGCTTAGGTCAAAGTTGTTCGGCCAACGGAGTGACTGCGGAACAGCGGGAAGCTTTTCTTCGAGGACATAATGATTACCGTGCAAAATTGGCGAGCGGTCAGGTTACAAATAAGGATGGAAAACCAATGCCACGAGGCAATATTCCTAGTGTGGTATGTTTTTAAGTTATTTTTGAAAAGAAGTTTCGGAAACTCCGCCAGAATCTTTTTTCCGGAAACTGCTCGAACCAAAGTAAAATTTGTTTAACTGAACTGCTGGTAGCACCGAAACTGCTGGATCAAGGAGCATTTTAAATATTTAGAGCTGGGACTGTGGCCTGGAGGAAGCTGCGAAGAAGTGGGCAGATGACTGCAAACTGATTCCTGCACCATTATGGGAACGCAGTGGCGCCGGAGAGAATATGTTCACCATTTATGCTCCGAATAATGCTGATGGTAATGAAAGACATTCATGAAGCAGTAGCTGCCGTCCTGTCTTTTCTGCTTGCTGCATTCACTACTGTTCTATGACGGCGCATTTTAGTAATTTCGTGTCTGTAGTATGCAAGCTTGTGCTTGTCCAGATAATTCAAAAGTGAAACCATAGAAGTAAAGAAGCTGAAATTTCAGGAATATAGATTTTAGCCTAGCTGATGAACGAGGAAGAGGCGGAGGTGGAGGAGGGAAAGAGAAAATGGACCTCAGCTCCAAAATTATAGGCTTTCTTTTGTTACTAAGTGCAAAGCTTTTTACCACGAGGCTAGAAACACAATATAAATGTGCCTTATGAATTCCATATTTTTATACTTTTGAACTCAGAACCAAAATATAATCCAAACTACGGCTTCTTAGCCAAGAAATCAATGAATTGAAGAAATTTGCAGGCTTTTCTGCTACAAAATACAGGACAAATGCATTTTCAAACATCTCTAAGTCTCGGATTTTTTTTGATCTGAAGTACAAATTGAAGCTGAGATTATGACA